CTCAGTTATGCTAGTATAAAGCTAGAGTAATTCAGTGGAGATAGGCTAATTGTAAAATAAATTAAAATGTGGCCTCCAGCAATTTCATTTTCATCTTTTGTCCCTGTCTCATAGCCTTCAGTGTGCTACCATTCTTGAGCCCTTTCTTGTATGTTTAGTGCCATTTTAGCTTTGAGACAGTATTGCTTTTACTCTTGATGTTCTTCACCTGAAACTGTAGGACCATTCTCTATGATCAGGTGGCAATCTTGAAATTAGAGAGACTTTTGTAGCAGTATTGTGTGATAATCCCTTTGAAACACTTATCTGATGGTATATTTAACATCACTCCTTATCTCAAAGTTTCTTAGTTTATGGAATAAATTCAACCCTTTTTAGAACTTTAAATTAGACAACCAAGGCAGCACAAGAAACAAAGATGAAATCAAACTTTAAAGTGGAAATAGGTACAACATTTGTCAATTGAAACTAAATCTCTCCTAAACCTAGAATTCTCAGTTAGGATTCTGAAATGTTGTTTTGTCCCAAAACATAAGCAAAGTGAAAAACCTCAACACAGCATATGTAATTTTGTCAAATAGTTGTTTTCTATTGGATGACATTACATTAGACAATGTTTGACTCAGTCTATATTATAAGTTACCTAGGAAGTCACAACTTACCTGAGGACTTTTAACCAAGGTTAAATATCTTTCTATAATGTAGATGGTGTAGTTCATCCAAAAATGGAATGGCTTTGATCAAAGCTCATTGACTGAAGGCATGGAAACTATGTTATATGGGAAGTTACATTATCGTAATGGCCCCTTCTGGCCTTGATATCCATTATTCTGTGGGTAACTCATGGGTCCCTAACATGGTTTGTACCTGAGACTAAGTTAAACTAAGGGTCTTGTTATCATTTTTGTACAGCACACTTCTATTTCTTCCTGCACAGGCAGAGTCAATTTATTTTCTTTAAGCATATGTGCCACTCATTAATTTTTTATAGACATCCATATACTATTGGAATAATTTGTTAGGGAATCCATGTAGTAAATAGTCTTCTAGTACTAACCTGTGCTGGTCTATAGCAGGATCCTGAACTTCTAGTCTTAGTAAAGCAAAGTATTTTATTTAAATACATATGTAAATGTGTTTATGTACATGAAGTTCAAATGTGTTTATGTGCCACGAAGCACTCTTTCTAGGCAGGAGATCATTTCTAAAACTACTCCCTAGATGTGATAAAATATATATTTTTGGAAGGGAAAACTATTATAGGTCTATTTTAAAGCTTGAATGCTAATATGATATCAAAATTCAGAAAAAAGTATCCTTAATGTCCTTTATTATTTTTATTTTTGTTTCATTATACTACTTAATTTTACTAAAATAAGCCATTTAAAATAGAAGAAATAGTGATGAGACTATTTGGAAAACAATAGTATGGTCTACTAATTAATTGATCCATTTGGTTGAAATATTTTTATCTGATGTTTAGACCAAAATTTAACAAAAAATCACTGAATTCAAAAGAAAAATAATATATATTTTTTTTCTTACAGAGTTTGTTTTTTTATGTAACCTTTGTACTCTGGAACTCTAGTCAAGACCCAACTTTCTGGTTCTACCAAGTTGCCAGGAATTTTTTTTTTGGCTAAATGGATGTACTAAAAATCTCATAGTGAGGTACTCTCAAAAGCTTTGCAGTTCAAATATCATGTCCTGCAAAGTTCACAAAGAAATCTGTTCCTGAAAAATTTCCAGCTTTTTTTCCCCCAACCCTATGTTATCTACTTTAAAACTTTAATGTTCTATGCCCCAACCTGCTTTGTACCCAGAATCTACTGAGGTGCCATTTATCAGCAGCTGAATTCGAATGTTATCAGAGACTGCACATTCATCTTTAACAAAAGAGAGACCAGACTACTTGATGAGCTTTTATAATTGCTTCTACCTGGCAACACTGAGTGCTCCATCTTCTTGTCCCACCTTGAGGGAAACCTGTTTCTTCTTTTCAGAAATGCCAGGCCTCGTTATTTGCACCAGGTCTTGACAGTTCCAGAATCTGAGCTGGGCAAAGTTAATATCAGTTGATTAATTATCACACCACTAATTAAGGAGTCAACAAACTGTTCTCAATGAGATCCTTATACAAACAAAGCATCTTCATGCCACTCACATCCTAAGGGACTGACAACAGTTTTGAGGGTATATATTAAAAATTAGTTTATTCAGGTAGATCATTTGCTTCTTGGAATTGGACTTTTAAAATATGCTATTATATTGAGCAGTGCAAGTTTGTAGTTTTTTTTCTGTGGTCACTGTGGGCCCACAGTGGGTCCACTGTGGGCCTTGTTTTCACTGAAATCAGTAAAAGTCTGACTCATATTACAGATGCAGGATCCTAAAAAGCAAAAATTGAGCATTAGTTAGTTTGGATCTGATTTTTCCTGCTATTTCAGTACATCAGCTCTCACACAAATGAAATACCCTGTTGCAACCACTAACCTCTACTGCAAAGAATGTGAACACAAGAATGGAAATACATTTTTCCGTGTGTAGGATCTTTGCCTCTGAGTAATTTTGGAAGCTTTATGGAAATTTGGTGAACACTTTCAGCATCTGACATTTCTAAATATCAAGAATATCATGAGTCCATGTTATAGAGCTGGCTATTTTTAAGAATTTCATACCAAATCCATTTCTGGTATCAGTAATTCTTACTTGTTTATGTTATTCTTAAAAGAATTCACTCCCTTCATTTTCAGGGTACAACCCAGAAAATATATTTAGGGGCTGAATTATCAATTCAAGGGAATAATGCAACTGATGAAACTACTCCAGCTGTAGTGATTTGAACAATTCTGATAAACAAATGCCCAGGAAACAAGAGTGGGTACAAACCAACAGGTCTGCACTGTTTTGTTTTGTTTTCATTTATTTATTAAAATGTCCTCTCTATAGATTAATTTCTTTAATCAATATTTAATACTGATTTTTTAAAAATGTCAATTACTAGTGCTTTTGTTAAATTGACTTGAAGGGTGTCTAATTTCACTCTACTTACATTGTAATTGCATTTTTTAATAATTTACCCCATAGTAGTTTGGCAACTTTCTTTAATATTCTGATATTAATCAGAACAAACATTTCTCCCTTTTAAACAGAGAGGTGGTTAGCCATATTAGCCTGAAGTCAAGCAAAAGTAGGATAGGATGGCACCTTAAAGATTAACTGGTTCAGAGAGACATGAGCTTTAATAGACAACAGTTTACTTCATTATATGCTCTGAATGGACACATCTGATGAAACACCCGGTAAAGTAGGTTGCTACCTATGAAAGCTCATGGCTGTCTGAGCCAGTTCATCTCTAAAAGTGTCATCTACTCTACCTTCAGCCTCTCCTTCAAGTAGTAATACATTTTGATCCTCCTTTCCACAATTCCCTGGAGACCCACAAGTTACCATCTAAAGGCCTTTCCAAATCACTCAGAATGCACTGTTGCTTCATGAAAGCCAGTGAATTCTAGAATAGAAACCCAGGATACATTGCTGCTGAATTGAGTGTGGTGTTACTACAGAGAGAAATCGTAACATTCTAGTCTTTTAAATACTCCATATTATGATTGCCTAATATTGACACAATTAAGTGTGTATGTGTACAAAATCAAGTAAACTATAATAAGTACAATTCTAGTAGAGATTTGCCCTTGAGAATTTTTTTTTCTTTGTACTAATTTTCTTTTTGCTGTTAGCATAAGTGTTTAAGCCACAGCTGAGTGAGGAATACAGGAACAATGGTTCAACTGAAGTAAAGAGGGTCTGTTTTTTGCGCAATAACTTTGCTGAAATAAGGTGTTAAAGTCAAAATTTAAAAAATTACTTCAGCTTATTTGAGGACATCAGGGCCAAATCTTGCTTTCTTTGCTTAGACATAAAATACATGTGATTTAGTTCTGAGATAATGGGACTAATGAAACTTAGTTTCCAGTCCAGTTTCTGGTCCTACTTTTCTAGGCTTCCTTATAGACTCCTCCTAATTTACAATGCTGTAACTGATACATGAATGACATCGATTGTCCTTAATAAGCATGACAAGTAAGGATATGAATTTATCACACTATGAGAGTTGTAGTACAATTTCTGAGCTACAGGAAAGATTTTGAAGTTGGCTTCTCACTAAGTTTGCAAACTGATTAAAAAAATTCACATATTTTCAGAGATATTTTTCACATATTTTCTGTAGATGGGACACAGTTTTTGTAGTATAACTAGGTTTTACTCATAGTACAACAAAATGTTTTAGAAGTTTATGAAACGTAGCAAAAATAGTTTAAAAGTTCTGAACCTAGATGTTTCCCAGGACCCAGCATGCTTTCTCCATCCTCAAACTCTATATGAGAAAAGAAAAATTAGATCAACATTTAGAAGCTTGAGTGTTTGGATAAATGTGATTTTCAGAATTTCAAAGTATCTTCAACTCCCATTAAAGATAACAGGAGGTAATTAATTATTATTATTATGGCAGAACTGTTCCAATAATAATTCATTTCACTGAATTTTTAAACTATTATGTAAACTCCAGTATATCCCAAAATATTGATATAACTTAAAAAATACTGATACTGAGGAAATTGAAAATCCATGTTCCCAGCTCCAGAATATAGTAATGGAGTTACAAATTTCAATGTAGGACAATAATAGGTCTGACAGAGCACTTCTTATCCCTGGATCTGAAAGCTTTATAAAAACAGGTAAGTATCATTATACTAATTTATGTATGGCAAGTCTAATGCACAAAAGGATATGTAACTTCCCAAGATCATCTACTGGGCCAATGGCAGACCTAGGAATAGAAACCCAAATCCCTAGTTTGAAGAAGATGGATTTCTCAGTACATTTTAAACAGACATTCCCACTGAGCCTTATTCCAGCATTTCTGCTATATTAGTGTTTCCATTGTGTCTTCCTGCTTCAGAGTGGAAGAAAATTATTATCCTTTTTTCTTATTTTAGGTATTCATCCACTGGTTTGAAAACTCCTCAGAATACTTCAATAAATATGCAACTGCCTTCAAGGGAGACAACCCCTTATTTTACTCCTGTGGATCAGAAGGCCTTAGTTGGATATTCATCTTCAAGGGCCAACTCAGTTCCCATCATCCCCTCTGTCGGCTTGGATGAAGCCTGCATGCAAATGCAGAATGTTTCTGAAGTAACAGGCATCAAATGGTGCAAAAACTCCTATTCCGCTGAACTTGTCAATGTGAGTGCCCCTGTCAGCAATTGTCTTATAGCAGAACAACACGAAGTGAAAATATTGCTAGAAACTGTCCAGGAGCAGATTCGAATTCTGACTGATGCAAGAAGGTCAGAGGACTATGAACTAGTGAGCGCAGAAACAGAGAATAGCGCAAGTGAAAACACAGCATTTCTGCCCATGAGTCCCATGGCAAAATCGGAACGAGAGGCACAATTTGTCTTAAAAAGTGAAACACAAAGAGACTCAACATTGACCAAGTGACTTTTAGGGGCTGGGGGTGGGGAAATAAAGGATCTGTGCATTCGATGCTTTGCTAAAAAGGTAAAGGAGGTATTAAATACAAATTATTTATATGCATTAATTTAAGAGCATCTACTTAGAAGAAACCAAATAGTCAGTCGCCCTCATATCATAGTGTTTTTTAACAGAATATTTTTTTAAGGGAAAGAAAAGTTGCAGAAGGGATCAAGCTTACATCAGAAGTTTTTTTGGCAGGGTTACACACAGCTTCAGTTACGGTATATTTTAAAACTGACCTGTTTATCTGTTAGAAGGCTTAGGCTATGCATCTTTTTCAAAATGGCCAACACCATTCATCGACTCATTTTTGGTTTCAAGGTAGTGCTAAAGCAGTCTACCAGGGATTCATACCCTGGTTAGGAACCCCCTCTAGCATCTAATATAATCCAGGTTCATGATTAGACCTCCATTTAATCCAGTCACATGGCTGGCCTAAGAGTCATAATTTTAAAACACACACACAGATCAATCTTTCCTGACTGATTTCTAAAACAGCAAAGGCGCTAAGCCAGATGCCTAAGTATGTACCTTGCTTTAAGAACATGCATTGTCCCAATAAAATCAACAGGAAAACCATGAGTTTTCAAGTTATCTCATGCTTGCTGAAATGATCCAGCATTGCTGGATTTTTTGACGGAAAGAGCAAGAGAGAGATGAAGAATGTGTGTGCGCACGTGTTTGCATTCCTGTATTTTTTTATTTTCATCTGAGAAAGTAAAACACATTATTTGTCACAAAAACTCACAGTATTTTCAGAATGTTATACTTTGAAGATGTGTGTCAGCTCTAAAGGAGCACTTGTGTCTCTATTTTTTTTAAATTTAGTTTTGTTTCAGTTTGTTCAGAGATCAGTTATATCCAGTTATTTATGCGGCCCTAGTTTGATGCCTCTTTAAGGTTATTTCTCTCCCCCCTTCCTTTTTTCTCCATTCATTTTAATTAAGCATGATTTAGGCTTCTGCACCCAAAAATCACTATGGGCAGACCCATGCCGTTGATGTCTTGACCTTAACAGAGCTTCAAATGTGTTTGTTCCACATAGGCCCATTTGGCACATTGAGGCTTAAAGGAGGAAATCTCTATGGCTGGTAAAACTGTTCCAAGCAACTTGCAACTTTCAGATTTTCTTTTTTCTTTGTGGGGTTTTTTTTCACCATAGCACAATATGCCACTAATGAACCAATTTCAATAGTGATAGAAGTATCAATACTTTTCTTTATTTTTTTTAATTAAATCTGCTTAAATTATTTGTAAAAAATAAATAAATAATGAATTAAAGGGGATAATCACCAAATAGCCTTCCTTGTTTAATGCCAGAATAATATTATTTTTCAGTCTGAAGTACACGAAAAAGATTAAAACACTCCTTTGCAGCAAAGTAACTGCTAAACTTATTAGATGTGCCCCAGACTTTCCAGTTCACTGATTTTAAGAGTAAGTTCCCAAAATAGCACAATCAATTGGTCCAGTGCTATTGTATGCTAAATCACAGTAAAGCAATATTTTAAACTCTGTTAAGTGAACTGAGAAATAATGCTGAAGGCATATATCATTTATATTCCCCAACTAGGGCATTAAAGAAGAATTTAGTACTCACATAACAAGTCTTTTTTATTTCAATGCAAAGTTTATGAGATTGTCTTGTTTACACAACTTTCTATGGCTGTAGTCTTTGCTGTGTGTTTTCAATAAAAATGTATTTGAGGGCACGCTGTGGTCTATGCTCCAGGCTACAGCATCCTTGGTTCTGACTGCCTTCTTCAAATGTTAGTAGTTTGTGCGAAGACTAGTTTTAAGGAGGGACCTTCCTGAGGGAGTCATCTCATTGTAAACAACAGCTGCTTTTTAAGGCCCAAATCCTACAATTTGTTGCATGTGGAGAGAGCCCTATCCACTTCAATAATGCTTCATATGGTTTCTGTATTCTGCCTCCATGAAATGAATTGCAGGATCATGGTCTAAGCACATATATCACAATGAAATGTTTTGAAATGAACAAAGATCTGGCTTCACTGCCCTAAGTCCAACTATATCTTGCAATAAGAATATTCCCCCTTTGAAATATATTGGAAACACACTGCAGGATTTCTGTTGAAGAAACAATTTTCTCATTTAGGCAATGCCTTTCTTAAAGGAATGTGTTAGTCTAGCACCCACAAAAACAGAAATAGTGGAAGAGCAATGTATTAAAATGTTCAATGGACATTTGGAAGTGTTTGAATAAGATGAAGATCTGAAATGCTGAGAGATCTTTAGTTCATGTTAGACATGCTATCCTGTATTCAGCAAAGGATGTGTGACTGTTATATGTTAACTGTTCTATTCAGTTTTCAGCATGTTTGAATAGAGAGACATAAATATTAACCACGTGATAGACTAATGTATTATTTGTTAAGAATATCACTACAGCTCTATTTAAAACGTTCATTGTTGAAAGAGGAAAAAAAGGTTAAAAAAAGAAAAAGGATGTAGACAGGTAGCCTTAATATGGATTATGGATTTTTTTCTAACGCATTTGTTTCCCCCCCATGAAAACAATTTTATAGAAAATGGAACTAAATTTTCAGTACAGCCTGGCACTTTTACTATGTAGACTGCACAAAAAGAGTATGCAAATTGTACTTACACCAGTGAAATAATAGACTGAATTCTGCTCTGATTTACACTCCATGCAGTCCCACTAGACTCCCATTGAATTGAAAAGTCTGTAAAAGTCAGTGTTGAAGTCTCTTTGGTCTCTTAAAATTGTATCTGTTCTTCATTTGGGAAACAAATCAATCCTCCACATAAGAAGCTCTAATCTTGGTGATTTATATCTCTCATAATTAAAAATTACGGTTGACCTGTAAAGCTCAAATTTACTTTGGTGTGAAATTTCACACATACAGTGTTACACATAAGTGAACTGAGAGAATAGTTTATTAAATAGCTTTAAACCACTCAAAACACATCTACATCTCTTAAGTATAATGCAATTGAACAGAAATATAAAATAGGGCCATTATATGCCCTAGATGTCTTGCTTCTAAAAGGACTTCCTTCAAAAGCAAGTAAACCAAACCTTTTCGCCCCTTAAAAATTCCTGTTAATGGAGTATTTCCAACACTTTATAGTAGTAAATGTAGTGAGTATAATCATGTTTCATATTGTTAACCACTGAAGAATAATTTTCAGTACAACTCTTAGGGGCTAGAGCTGATTATCTTTTTTATGTTGAATATCACCTTACTTCTTGAATAGCTCAGTTAATTTCAGTTACTCTATTCATGAGGAAAGTGTTATTCAAAATGAGCATCTGGCCCTCTGTTAGGGGAGGAAACCCCCTGAAAAGTGGCTAGATTCTCAGATGTTATTAACTCTAACTGTAATGAAATCAGTAAAACATGTATTTAGATGGAAAATGAGGCATGCATTTAGTTACTTTCCTGAACCATGAGTTAAACTCCCTCTCCCTCCCCTGCCACCATCAGATAGCGGGCAAAGTTTTCAGAATAAAACACACTAATGTAAATTGTTACATTTCATCAATGCTATGAAATTAAGTTTATTAGATTTTGTAGGTTACCTGTACTTCTTAAAGAAGTGATAAAAATGTGTATTACAGGAGAGTTTGCCAAAGTATTAATAATGGGATTTAAAATTTAAATTAATAAAAGCAGAGCTTTAAAAAAAAGTTTAAATCTGATCTAAAATCTGGCAGATTCAGGAATATTGATTGTCTCTCGGTAGAGCAGGATTTCCCCATAAACTCATATAAGCAAACAACAAAACTAATAAATGAGTTTCTGAGTTGACCTCTCTTATTTTCCTTTTATCATTATGTTTGTGCTAGCTTAAACTGTTAGCTTTATTCTACATTTTGAAATTTAACTTCAGGCCCATAATCCTCAAACAGTTTGGGAAAAATGCAACAGCTTTCATATAGTTTTTTTTTCCTTTTTATGAAAAGTCCTATATTTAAAAAAAAAAACAGAATGGACAATGATCTATAAGATACTGTTCCTGACATAAAATCAATCTGATGCACAGGCAAAAGATTAAAACCTGACTCCTACCTCCTGTTGAGGTCAACTGTAAATCTCCAGTCAATTCAATTAGAACAATCCTGTTAAAAAAAATATCGGTTAATGTAAAATTAAAGCCAGTTCCTCAGCCTACAATAAAACAGAAGTATTAGGTGCTCACAAATGGTGCTGTGTGCATTCTGTGTTATGACTGCATGCTTGGAGCCTGATTCCATTTCTTTGATTTCCATGAGTGCCTGATTGGGGTCCACTCATGTGACAATGGCAGCTAAAGTGTTTGAATTACATTGTGTGAACTTAACATTTGCCAGTTAGCCAAATCATATATTTGTATTTTAAATGGTAAGGTTGCAATGCTCATTCATGAAAACGTACATCAAACAAGACAGAGATATGTTAAAGCTCTAAAGGAGTGATCAAACAGACATAGGCAGATCCAGGATTTTGTGAAGTGGGGTGTGAGAGTAGCAACTGGTGCTGCCTGGGTGGCTATGCCCCCTGTTCCTAGTTTCCACTCCTCTACCCCCCACCAGAGAAGACTGACCATGGTATGGGAACAGCAGCTAAGGACTTCTTTAAAGTACCTGAATCAGGTAAGAATCCTGCCCCACACCCCTCCCCATTGACTCTTGACTTCCCTCCCCCCTCCTTTCTGTGCTTAGCAGAAACTTCTCTCCCCTCCCATACTCTTTCCCCTGCCAGCTGCTGAGCTCCTGAACTCCAGAGCTTCTCCTGCATCACTCCAGTTTGGCAGTGTGGAGAACCTGGCTTAGCTGGGGGCAGCATTGACAATGGTGTGCAGGTGCCCCTTTCCTGAGCCTACTCCTGGGCTGGCAATGAGCACTTAGGGGGAATGCAGAGGAAGAGGGAACCACCCACCACTGCTGCTGCTGTTTCAGCTGATCCCAGCTCCCCAAGTCCCCAGCTGCTGCTTCTTCAGTGTGGTCTCAAAGCAGAGTGTGACTGCACCACCACAGACCCCTCTTGGATGTGTCCTGAAAGCAAACGTTGAAGTCAACCATCCTTCATTCCTGTTAACTTCAGCAGGCATTGGATTGGGCCTGATTCAGTGTTAACTTCAAATTTGTGAAAAATCCAGGCAGAAAGTACATAGAAAACAGAAAGCCATTCTTGAAACCTGGAATAATGGAAATCCATATTGGATAAGGAAGCAATAGTCTGCAGTGCTTACATACTGCACACTTAAAATGGATAATCATAACGAATGTGTGAACTACTAAAATTGTGTTGATAATTAATTGCCAAAACACAATCTACCTGAATTTACCAGTAACCAAATTTGTAAATTTTAAACAAGGAAGAAAAAGATCATATCTTATGCCCATTTCTCATTATCAATTTTTTCTTAAAAGTACAGTAGAGGTCACCATCCTTAGATTCTACATTTAATACTCTAGCATTGTTGTTAAAATGCATCTACCAGTATTAAAAACAATGATAAAAGAATTGGGGAATGCTGCTATTTATAAATTAATTTCTTCAAAGAAGTTTAAGAACAGTTCTCTTTGATTAAGGTCTTAGAAAGAAGGATATATATTTCTAACGCCCCAGAATGCTACTATATTGAAATTTTTTATTTTCAAATCATAATGTAAAAAAATAAAAACAAACAATCTAAATACTTTTTTGCTATAAAGGGAATTATATTTTATATGCATATTAATACTTTTTTACTGACAATTAAAGTGTGCAAGTTAAGCATAAGACATATGGCACACAAATGGCATGTATATCCTGTGTTTTTACTATAGCCTGGAGAAATATCTTATTTACCTAATGCCATCAGAAAGAGACCTCTGTTCCATTTATCATCTCTATTTCCCTCAGCACTAACTAAATGTACCATTTTGCAATGGATGATTGTGTGTTTGTATAAGCTTTATCTCATCCTCTTCCTTTTCCCTGTCACTTTAAGGCTGATTGACATCCCATCCAATATTCCTGAAGTCAGTTGGGTGGCAATGGCTATGAGACAACACAGAGTTTAGCCAGAGAACCACATTCTGACACCCTTATTAAAGGGTGAATTAAACCTTACATATATGATCTTCAATGCTATTCTGGACTGGGCCCGGGTACAAAGAAAAATTTGATTTTAAGGCCAGAAAAATAAAAATCCAAGTCTTAAATGCTTAAATTTATGCACAGTAAGAAATCCCAGAGAAGGGGGGAGGGGGGGGCCTCAGTCTTTGTAGGATTAGGCTTTAATGGGTTTAATATGCTTTTGTGCTATTCATTCATGACTTTAAAATTTTCTATTAATTCAGAAATTATGCAGTAAATGTAGCTCCCCTTATTGTCCTGTCTACCATGATGAAAGCATCTGTAAAGATTCACAGATTTTGATCTCCTATGCTCTTTAAACTCTATTATTTCTCTGCCAAGGATACAAAAAAAGTGTGAACTTGAGCTAACAAAAGTTAAAGCTACCAAGGATCTTAATAAATACGAACAGAATTTCAACATGATAAATAGTTGTGGTTCAGACATATTAGATTCTTTCCTTTCCTGCAGCAAGCAGAACTACCTTTAAGAGCAACGCTCTGATCCTGAGATCCTTATGAAAGTATTTAATTCATTACAACATCTACTTTTGTGGGTAAAGCTGTGGCCCCAAATTGTGAAATGTCCTCTTGTAACATAGATTAAAAATGATATAAGGGCTTCCAAGATGGGACCACAGTTGATGGTCCTTTGTTTTAAAGTCTGAATTCTAGCTAGTTTGACAGATAGGATTGATTTGCAAGTAAAATGTTATCCTCATTAAGCTGCATATTTAACTAGATAACAGAACATTTTCTTGGGAAATTGATGATCTTGTTTCTAGTCCTCCTGTGTCTTCTCCCCATAAACTAACGTACTGATTGCATGTATGTTGTTGCCTACAAAACAATTAACTGTGTGATAGCAAGAATCCAGTGTTTTTATTTGTTTGGAAATCATTAATGATGAAAAAGATTATCAATAATATAGTTTCCGACCCTTTCAGAAGACCAAAGACTAATCTCATTTTAGATTATCTGAGTTATAACTTCAGATATTGCTCTTTACCTCCCATTAAAACTAAAATTCCTCCAAAGATTAAGGTTCTTAACACACATTAAACAAAATCATGTTATCAGATTAATGCCAAAGTTGCAAAACAATTGAAGAAAGTACCATGGCAAACGTGTTACCATTTTAAAATAATCCTTACTTTGGAAAGCTAATGAATGCAATTTTATCTTAATTAATGTAAAAAAAATGTTGGAAGGTACTTAAGATTATTTAAAAATGTATTTTAATGTGTTTAAACAAAGTCATTTCTCTATTTGGTTTCCAAAAAAAAAGTGCAAGAGATAATCAGGATAGGATGAGAAAATGAGAAAATGACTCTGAAGTCTTTTCTTATTTTCTGCTAGATAGGAATCATTTTTAAGAAATCAGTTTGTGTTTAGGAATTCAGGTCTGGAACTTATAATTATATAAATATACACTGCCACAGTGGTACCTGAGGCAAAATGCACTGTCATAGAGAAAGCCAGTAAAAGGGCTGTTACATCCTATTTAATCCCTTAAAATAATACAGAAGTTGGTGGGACATAAATCTGTGAATTTTATTTCCTGTGAAACAATTCTGATCTCTTGTATGGCAAGATAAATGAATGCATAGAAAAAAAACTGGAAAAAAATGAAAAGTAGGTCCATGTTTGTGTTGACTTTGTGGAAATTGCTTTCTAAACTATGGAAGTATCAAAATTAGAGCCATCCACTGAACTATGAATATTTTAGAAATGCTTTAGAATGAGGTAGTTTTATTGGAATTAACCAACTAGCAAAAATATCAACAGATAGCTTGGTACACCCTCAGCAATTTAATGTGCACTTAAAAAGGAGGCAGATTTTTCCTTTCACTTTGTTATCAGAGTGTATGTACAAGTGTTACATGCAAACCAAGGGCTAAGTACCGATGTTAAAAGAAGCCCCTGGCAAAAGTGCTTTAACTTTACTTGAAACATTATAAACATTAGAGTGGGAGTGAACTAAACAGACATTCATCCTTCAGTTGGGGGTGGGGGGGCTCGGAGTCTGCTCACACTGGCTGAGGCCAGCAGCTTAGAGGTGCTTTCACATACTTCCCAGGAAGCTGCTGGAGTTGCCTATCTCCCCAGCCCAGGCCAGACCTCCCACCAGCTG